AGGGTGACAGCCAACCCAAACACTTCTGAACACTCTTTTGTTTTTATGACTTCTTCTGTTTCTCAGTTTAYAGTTGAGAATATGCTCAAACAGGCYMCAAATTYACCAACTGCCTCATCATTCACACAGCCAATTAACTGACTGGTTCATTCCTTCCAAATGTGCCAATTTGGAAGCAAAACCCAGAGATGACAGTAAATACACTTGAAAAGAAGCAAAGGCATCCGCTCAGTTTCTGAGGTTAAAGCAGGAAAGGAACTATGTATGACCTGGCCAGAGCACTGTTTTCCCTGGAGGCACTGTTTCATATCAGAGATACTAGAAGCAGAGGCCTCCTCCCCATGGGAGTGTGGAGCTTGCTGTGCTAGTCACTTTCTAGGGATCCACTGGAGGGAGGAATCAGGGCCCACAGTTGTGCTAGTCACCTTTGGGGATCCACTGGAGGACTCGGGGACCAATAAACAACTGCTCTTCTTCTCAATCAAACCTTCCCAGCATGAAAGGTAGGGACTTGCGAATATGTCCCCCATTCTCTAGACCCATGCCATTGGGCAGTTTGGTGTGATGTAAAATCTTTTTCAAGTGTTTTCCTTGAATATTATCTCAGGAAAGGACCTCAAGTTGGGATACTAACAGTGGACTAAGATGATTCAAGAAATATTTACTGAGGATGAAGAAATAAGATTAAGGACCTAATAGTTGGGTATAGGAAGTAAGATTAGCTTAGAACTAACTACAGAAGGACAAGGTGAGTGTTATCCTGTTATACTAGAGGAAGAAACTGATTCCAGGTGCAAGGTCAAGAATAAACTCATCTGATACTGACCAAGCACCAACTAGGTACAGTACCAGGCATTTTGTGTACAATATTATCCCATTTAATCACCTCAAAGGCTCTGAAGAATCTATTCTAATACCATTATCCTCACTTTACCAGTAAGGGAACGGAGGAGAGGCAAAGTTCCTCACTCAAGGTCACACAGCTAATTTGTAAACACTGAAGTTGTTGGCCAACACGGAAGCTTCTGCTATTTTCACTGTAGCAGACTATGTCCCCTGGAGCAAAGAAGTTCTTCCTGGACGAAGAGGAATCAGAACTAGTTTTCCTCTTTTTAACAAGGGTATGACAGCAAAGTCTGTTTCTCAAGGA